GGGTTGTTGATGGGAGAGTGTTAATGCGGGAGAAAGGCTGGGAGGAGGATGGGGCAGCAGCTGGGAGAGGCCGGGTGAGCGCCGGGGGCTCTGAAGGGCGCTGAGCATAAAGGAAGGGGCGCTGGCGGGGTGGGGGAGGGGAGCCTGGCTGGTCGGAAGCGGCCGGGGCAGCTGGATTCCCGGGGACTACGCCCGGCCGAGAGAAAGGGCTCCCGAATGGCATTAGCTCCTCTGCTCGGAGGTGGGAAACTGGAGCCTGCAGGGTGGGGCTTGAGTGGTGGGAGAAGAGGAACGGAGGAAACGGCTAAGCTCTCAGGAGATCAAGGAGGGCCAGGTATGAGGAGCGACAGTTGCTAGAGACGGGGAGGGGGCGCGTAGGGACCGGAAGGAAATGGAAGCTTGGGAATTGCTGCAGCGATGGAGGACGGGGGAGCCCCTGGGCCTCGTTTTTCGGGGACTTGATTTGCCTCAGGGAGAAACTAAGATCCTTTGGCAGGGATTGCCCGCCTCTTCCCTTCTTGAGTCTAGAGGGAAGATGTTTTGGATGAGGGGGGCGAGAGGCTTTCTACTGGGGCTATTTCAAGTGGAACCCAGTGGCTATTTAAAGCTCGGAGTGAGGGTTGGGGGAGGTTGGGTGGCTGGGGTTGGCAAAGCTAGCTTAAGGCAGCCTGCTTCTTTCCTGCAAGGGGCCTCCCTCATTTGAGCCTTCTCTGTGCCTGCTGTTGGGCCTGGCTCTTCCTGCTGCCAAGACTCCTTGAACAGGGAGCAGATGATCCACTCAAACCCAGCAGGGGCCTGCCGCCCAGCAAGGGCAGTACCAGGTTGCAAGAGGATTTGCCTTAACAGGGAGCCCTCAGACGTATCCATTATTCCTTGGATGCCAGGTTCTCTTGAGAGGAGACTTGCCTTCTCCAGGAACATCTTGTGTTTCTTCTCCTGCCCAGTGCACCCGGCCACCCCATGCCCTTTTCACAAACCCAGTGGGAGGTCAGCTTGTTTCACAGTGCCACCAGAGCAGGTGTGGGGAAGTGGCAAGAGGAAAGACACCCTTTTCTCCCTGCTCACCCCCAGAAGGTGCATACCTTTCTGGCTTAAGTTCTTGATCTTGTCAGTACGCCAGGCCTTGCTCTGCCAGCTGTTAAAGGGACCCCTCCCGCCTGAAGGGAACCCTGGGTGACCTCAAGGACAACGGCAGGGCCACTTGTCTAGAGTTCCCATGTGGAGGGGCTAGACAGTCATGCTCACCTGGAGGTCGCCCTGCTGGCTCAGCCGCACCCTGTCCTGGGTCAGGGGGCTGTTCCACTCTTAATAGCCTGAAAGGTTTTTGGCTTGAGAGCTCCCATAGCAGTGTTTCTACTGTCTGGGGCTGGCCAGGCTATTAATAGCACTGAGTATTTTGAGATCCCTCTCTGCACCTTAAAGAGCACACGGATTCTTAGAGAGGTGAGCAGAGCAGAGAGAGAGAGAGAGAGAACCTGCCTGGCGGGAGAAAGGGTAGTGGAGCTTCTGTGTAGGCACCAGCAGGGTAGAGCCCTCTTGGTAGGGGGCCACCACCCCGAGTCCTTGGTGAGCCGATTCGGAGCAGGTACGCAATCAGGTCAGCAGGGCCCCACCCCTTGCTGCTGGAGGACACAGGGCTAGGACTCACTGCCTGGCCTCAGTCACTCGCCTGGGGCAAGACCAGCCACCTGGCTGGTGACTAGTGTCCCTACAAAGGGGTGGTGCAGGAGGGCCACCAGGGTGACACTTGGAGGCCAGGCTGGGCAGAGGCAGAGCCTGAGGAGCTCACGCCCCGGACTTCTGTGCAGGTAGCAGAGGCAGCAGGCCGTGCCGGGGGGGCATGTTACAGTAAGCAGCGGCCCAGGGGATGTTACGGTGGACAGTGCACCTGGAGGGCGGGCCCCGCAGAGTGAACCATGCGGCAGTGGCCGTCGGGCACCGGGTCTACTCCTTCGGGGGCTACTGCTCCGGTGAAGACTATGAGACGCTGCGCCAGATTGATGTGCACATTTTCAACGCAGGTGAGCCAGTGTGGGGAGGTGGGGGAGGATGGGGGTGGTTCAAGTGGTGCCCGGCCATTGGAGCTGGAAAAGCAAATGCTGACTTGGGGAAAAGTGGACCAGCTGGAGGGCAATCCTCTGGGCTGAGCCGAGCTGTGCCCACAGTGTCCCTACGTTGGACAAAGCTGCCCCCTGTGAGGCCTACCTCGCGAGGAAAGGTTCCTGTGGTGCCGTACATGCGATATGGACACTCAACGGTCTTCATCGATGACACGGTCTTCCTGTGGGGTGGGCGGAATGACACCGAGGGGGCCTGCAACGTGCTCTATGCATTTGACGTCAGTGAGTATGGCTTTGAGAAGCTGCAGTGTCCCCAGCGCCCCACCCCCACCCCCAGCACTTAGGAGGGAGCTTCCGCCCAAGGTTGTTGACCTTGCCATCTTCTCATCCCCTCAGATACTCACAAGTGGTCAACACCACGAGTGTCGGGGACGGTTCCTGGGGCCCGGGATGGACACTCGGCCTGTGTCCTGGGCAAGACCATGTACATATTCGGGGGCTACGAGCAGCTGGTAGGTCTGGGAAGAAGATCCAGGCTTTGGGGGTGTTTGTTAGCAAAGGGGAAGGGGGAGTTAGAGCCTGGCCGGGTGGGAGGCTATGGCTGGGTGGTGAGTTCTGAAGGGAGGGATGGAGGTCAGGGAGCGACCCTGGGCCCCTTCCTGTATCTCTCCCTCCATCCCCACTTCACCCCCACCCAGGCGGACTGTTTCTCCAATGACATTCACAAGTTGGACACCAGTACCATGATATGGACCCTTATCTGTACCAAGGTTAGTCCTTCCCTCAGTCCCTCAGCTCCTGGCCGGCCCAAACGCTCCTCAGCTCTCCTCCCTGCTGACCCTCCCCACCTGCTCTCTCTGCCCCTGTCCAGGGCAACCCTGCACGCTGGAGGGACTTCCACTCAGCCACCATGCTGGGCAGCCACATGTACGTCTTCGGGGGTCGTGCCGACCGCTTTGGGCCATTCCACTCCAACAATGAGATTTACTGCAACCGAATCCGCGTCTTTGACACCAGGACCGAGGCCTGGCTGGACTGTCCACCCACACCAGTGCTGCCTGAGGGTCGCCGGAGCCACTCGGCCTGTGAGTGTTGGCCAGATTTCTGCTGAGCCTCCCTCTCCACCCACTGTTCTCACAGTCTTGCGTTTCTTCTTCCCGCCAGTTGGCTACAATGGGGAGCTGTACATTTTTGGGGGTTACAATGCAAGACTGAACCGGCATTTCCACGACCTCTGGAAGTTTAACCCCGGTGAGGAGCACTGCCTTTGGGGGCGAGCAGGGAGCAGAGGACTGGGTGGGTATTGAGCCCCCTTTTCTCTGTACAAATGTCTGTTTAGTGTCCTTTACCTGGAAGAAGATTGAACCGAAGGGCAAGGGGCCATGCCCCCGCCGGCGCCAGTGCTGCTGTATTGTCGGTGACAAGATTGTCCTCTTTGGGGGTACCAGGTAAGGAAGTTCCTGTTCCTCAGACTCACATGGGAGGGTGGTTATTGGAGCAAGAGGGTCACGTGGGTGGTGGTCTTCCTTCAGTTCCCTTTCGGTCCCCACAGCCCATCCCCGGAGGAAGGCCTAGGTGATGAGTTTGACCTCATAGATCATTCGGACTTACACATTTTGGACTTTAGTAAGTACACTTATTTCCAAATGGTCCTGCCATTGGGTCCCTCTCTTGAAGGTGGTGACACGTGGGACAGGGTCCTTTGCCGGTTTTAACCATCTCCCACTTCTCCCTCCTCCCTTCAATAAGGCCCTAGTCTGAAGACCCTGTGCAAACTGGCCGTGATTCAGTATAACCTGGACCAGTCCTGTTTGCCTCATGACATCAGGTACGGGAAGTAGGGACTGGTTGGGGGCTGACAGGGCTGGGAAGGACCAAGTGAGTGTGGTCTCCATTGGGATTCTGCTGGCAGTACATTGTGCTTATGGGAATGAGTGGGAAGGAGATGAAGTGACCCCATCAAATAAGAGAAGCTGCTAGCTGGTGAATTCCAGGTGCCCCTCCCCATCCCCACACGAGCACAGGACATTCCTGTGAAGCCTTTCATAAACTGAAGTAGGACACAAAGCAAATAAACCGCTCCCGTTCATTGTATGGGACAAGGATTTGAACCTTCTCAGACCCGCAAAAGAGCCTACCAAGTCATAGCAGACAACACGCAGAGCCTAAAGTAGCTCCGACACGCAGCGTTCACAGGCACAGTGCACAGTTCCGGGGCCCTGGTGCCCAGTGTGGTCCCAAGAAAGGACCCTGACAATGCCACTCTGGGCCTGGGGGTGCCAGGGGTGCTATGGAACTCCGGTTTGCTTTTTGCCTTTTTCATAAAAGCATAAATCCTCCGTGGATTTCTGTTGGTTGGCAAAAACAGGGTCTTTGTAAACGTGCAGTGACATAAAGCAGACTTTAAGAAAGAGCAGGGGACACCGGCATATTACAAAACGACAAACCGTAGAGCAGGCACAGGAGCATCACATCCTGAGATGTGGACTTAATGGACCTGATTTTGTTAGGAATTAACTGTGAAGGTCTGGCTGGATCTTAGAATTTAGTTCAAATTTTTCCTAAACTTGGCTTCCCATTGAATTCCGTTCTTGGGTCCAAATCAAATCAAATACCAAAAATGTGCATGTTGTGTAATTGTCTGCTGATTCCTCACATCACTGTAGCTCCAGGCCTCAGGGTCAATGTGATGAGAGGGAGGGTGTAGGGGGTCTCAGCCAGGCCTTAGGATGCGAGTTGAGAGCCGACAAGGAAGGTCTCGGTGGGGTGAGGTTGGAGAGGCTGCTTGCTTGTGCCTGGTGGCCCTGAGGAGAAGCAGGCAAAGCTAGGTTGGGAAGTGGAGATGGGTTCTCACAGGCCTCTCCCCAGGTGCTTGGGTACAAGAACATACACATAAACATCAGCAGGAAATCTGCACAGATTGGGAGGTGGAGGAGTGGGTGGTATTGGATTTGGTATGGTGGGTGGGGAGGTCTGATTGCTAGACCTAGTGGGACTCCCACGAGGAGGTGGCAGCTGTGGGGCTTGAACCTTTCCAGGTGTTGAAAGGACTGGCTTGTTGACAGAAAGCAGCCCTGGGCTAAGGGGGTGGGGATTCTCCATTCTCTCGTCCTTTGTCCTTTCTGCCTGTAACTGCTGGCTTTCCAGGTGGGAGCTGAATGCCATGACCACCAACAGCAATATCAGTCGCCCCATCGTCTCCTCCCATGGGTAGGCAGATGCCTCCACCGCCCTCCTCCTGAGCCTGCTGTTGTCCTCACTGCCCCGCCCCTGCCCGTCTCTCACCTGCCTGCCCCTTTGGACCCCCAGACTATATACCTCCACATGGAGTTGGACTAGAAGTGTGTGCTGTGCTGTGAACTCAGTGGGAAGTTTGGGGCGGGGGGAGGGCTAGGTCTCTTCCCCTTTGGGGGCCAAAGGCCCCTTCCCCTTGGTGCTCTGTCCCATCCACTTCGCTCTCCCCGTTCCTGGGCCTCTGTGCTGCCCCAGGCCAGCTAGCCTCTGCTTGGAGGGGAAGGGAATGAGAGGAGAGAGAGGCGGCCGGCAGTGTCTGAGCCTCGGGAGCCTCCCACCTTCCTGCGCCACCTCCTCCCCCTATTGAGCCCAGAGCGGTGACTGGGAGCCCAGAGTTGCAGCGGTGGCAAGCAGCGGCCATCTCCCCCACCTGGGAAAGCGGGGACCAGCAGATAATCCACCCCTCCCTGCCTGCGCGGTAGCTGTGCCCTGAAGCTCGGCCAGCTCGGATTTTATAAGTTAAAAATTAATTTAAAACCTCAAAACGTGTGACCTGTTTTTGTGGAATACGGTGGGAATGACGCCGTCAAGTTCTGGCTTCTCGGCCAAGATCCTTGGGGAAGCCAGAGTCATCGGGGCCTGGCCCAGCTCCTTGGCGCAGAGCGCAGCGCGCGAGCCCCGTGTCCCGGCCGAAGAGTGCCACGTCATCCCGCACGCGCTCCCCAGGGGGCCTAGCGGCTGGGGGCTCCGCCCTCCGTGTTTTCGACGCACGAAGACGCCGACGTCGCCCTCGCCGCCTGGAGACGCCGGAAGGGGCGGGTCTTGAGCCGCCAGGAGCGGAAGTGGCGCCGTGTACCCGCCGACTGGTGTCGGGCTGATGGCGAAAGCGGGCCCTCGAGCGGGAGCCGCGGCTCCGCGCCCCCGCCGGGGCCGGCGCGGTGGGCAGGAGGACGGGGCCCCGGAGCCCCGCGCCGCGACCCGCGACCTGCGGAGGGGTGAGGGCCGGGGGGACGGCTCGGGAAGGCAGCCCTGGCGGTGGGAGGGACGTGGCCGCGGGAGCCCAGGGGTTTCTGCCGCAGAAGCCGGAAAGGGCCTGCGTCGGCGGGGAAGCCCCTTTGGAGCTTCCTTTTGAGAAGTGGTAGTAAACTAAAACACAACCGGGGTATATTCAAAGGTGATAAAGCACTGTCGTCCACCCTTAAGAGGTTTCAGGAGTGGGTCCCATGTTATGTGAATGTCAACTTTAGAAGGCGACGAGACTGAAGAGCCACGGAGCCCGCAGGGATTGCCGGCATTTTAAGTAGGGTAGTCAGGAAAGGCCTCACCACAGGAAGGTGGCATTTGAGCACGCGGCATACGCCTGGGGGGCCCTTGGGGGAGTGTCCCAGCGGAGGGAACATTTAGTGCCCTGGCGCTGCTCAGCCAGGGGACTGGAGAGGAGTCAGGAAGAGATTAGGAGATGAAATTAAAGACCTTAAAGGAACCAGGTCATCTGGGGACTTGAGGCCATTGTAAGGGCTGTGGCTTTCCTTCTGAGTCAAGTAGCCAGTGGGGAGTTTGGGGAGTGATAGGCTCTCATGTATTGTGGGAACACAGTGGGATGGTGGTGAGCAATGCTTGCATGGTAGATGCCTCCAAGTCTGAGGGGCAGGTAAGAGGAGATTGGAGGTGATGTGAAGGGAGGTGTGCTGAGGGGGTGAACTAGGACCTTGGCAGTGGTAACTGAGCTAGGGGGGTGGGGGTGGGGGAGCCCTTGGAGGAAAAGGGGGTGAGTAAGTGATATTAAAGAGGGAGTCGGGAATAGAGGTTTCTGACTCATCTCCAGCCTTACATGTTCACCTCCCTTAGCAAGAGGAGGCCCCAGGTAGCTGTAGCAACAGTTGACGTGAGGAGTCACTGTCGCACAGGTACAACCTGTCTGCCTGGACCTTAGGAGAGGACTGATAGGCTCATTGGAAGGGGTCAGTGACCTCAGGGCTGGGGTGGAAGGCTGGCTGTGGCCTAAGGAGGTGCCCAGCTGGAGCGATGTGTCTCTGCTGACCCTTTCCCAGATCCATCCAACCTGTCATTCGAGGAGCTGCTGGAATTGCAGAGCCACGTGGGGACGAAGAAGTACAAGCAGTTGGTAGCTGGCAGCAGCACTGAGAAGCCAGACTCGAGAGCGCCTGCGTGTGTGGCCGACAAGCACAAGTGAGGAGCCAGGCCTGCTTGAGGATGAGGGGAGGGTACCTTGAGCAGGTGTTCGCTTGGGTGGCAGGTGTGGGAGACCTTTGCAAAAGATGAGAGTCTCCTTGACCTAGCCTCTTCATGTCTCCCTAGGCCTCTGGAAATGTCATCCAAAGCCCGGGTGCCGTTTTTGCGGCAGGTCGTCCCTGTCAGTAAGAAGGTGAGGAAAAGACAGGAAGCCGTTTCTCCGGGAAGGGCGACTGGACCATGCTGCTCACATGCGCTCTATTCTATCCAAAGGTGGCCCGGGACCCCCGGTTTGATGACCTCTCGGGGGAATATAATCCTGAGGTGTTTGACAAAACCTATCAGTTCCTGAATGATATCCGAGCCAAAGAACAAGAGGTGTGTACCCTTATGCAGACCCTGGGAGGGTGGGACACAGCGGAAATTAGGGTAGCCCATAACAGAGTGGAGTTAACTCTTTAATTTGGCTCTTCTTTTTTTTTTTTTTTTAATTCTCTCACAAAAAGCATGGATACAATAGCTACATGGATAGTTTTGTGGGTGTTCTAGCTTCCAAATAATTTTAACTGCTTCAGTTCTTGTGGCTTCGTCTCACAAAAGCTTCTCATGAGGTTTTTAAAAAAAATATTTCTTAAAAAATTATTTCTAATTTAGTTTTTTACCTTTTTATTGATATTTGGGCAAAAACTTAACAGAGCAAACTGGTCAGGTTGATTTTCCATTCAACAATTTATGTACATTTTATTTTGTTACACTGATACAATCCCTATCATGTAGCGTGATGTACTTCCCACTTCCTCTGGGTTTACCTTCTCCAGACCGGTGACTGGACTGCCCCTCCCTGTCTTCTGAGCCCGTCCCTAGACACACTGCTCTTTTTGCCTCTTTCGGTTGACTAATCTAAGGCAGTGGTGGGTGGACAACCTTTTTTCTGCCACGGCCCTTTTGGATCTTTATAACATCATTCGTGGGCCATGCGAAATTAGCAGTTAAAAAATTAGCTTGCTGTATTTGGTCCAATAATTGATCCACCCCTAATTTAATGGCTGGAACTGCTGCTCTTTGGTAAGGTGTGTAAAGTCATTGATGATTTCTCGGCCCAGAGGCTCCCTGCTTCTGCTCTAAGGCATGTGGGCGGCCCTGTGGTTTGTCCTTTGACCACGGAGCCCTGGGGATGGGTTCAGTTTCTGAAAAGGCCATCGTCTTTGGTGTGGGGTTCACCAGGCTCACTCGCTTGTGAGAACCGGTGTGTCTTTATGATTTTGAACTTTGCACTGCCTTTTTCTTTGCAGATCTCCCATTGGGATCCCATTCTGAGCAGGCAGCAGTGGTAGCCAGGCACCACCTAGTTCTGGTCTCAGGGTCATGAAGGCTGGGGTCCTGGTAGACTAGTAGACCTTAGGACAAGTTGTCTTCATTCATCTTCCCTTTTCTTACTCCTCTTTGCTCCAGAGGGGGAGGGCTGGTTGTCGTACCTTCGATGGCCGCTCACCAGCTTTTAGGACTCCAGTCACTACCCCTCCCCAAAGTCAGGTGCAGAGCATCGCCTCTCTGGAGCGCGTTAGGCCCGTGGACCTCGTGTGGGTATCCACCCCATGTGACCCTGACAACGTTCTGATCAGGACGCCATGCACTCCCAGCTCCTTTACTCTGTCTGCGCACTTGTTTCCAGTCGGGGAAAGGTATCCCCAGAGTCCCTCTCTGGTGTGTGTGAGCCCCACAAAGTGCGGCCAGCCTTTCCACAATGCTCACCTCACCATCACGTTCTGATTTGCAGCTTGTGAAAAGGCAGTTGAAGAAGTGCCGCTCAGGAGAGGAGCAGGAGAAACTGCAGCTGCTGCTTCAGCGCTTAGTGAGTGGGTGATGAGGGCAGGTGGGGAGGTGGTTCATAGTCCCTCCTGGCCCTGCCTCGCTCATCCTCCCCTTCCCACCCCAGGAGCAGCAAGAACAGGCGCAGCAGGAGCGGAAGCGGCAGCAGGAGCTACGCCTGGCCCTGAAGCAGGAGCTGCGTGCCCGGGCCCAGCAGGGCCACCGGCCGTTCTTCCTGAAGAAATGTGAGTGGGGCTTGTGAGCTCAGGATGGTGCCTGGGCTGGGCTGGCAATTCTCCCAAGCGCTGGGCCCGGACACATTGGAGTTCTTGGTTGGGGGATGGAGTGAGACTGGCGCCGTCCTTAGAACCAGGCCATCTGCCTCAGGCCTATATTTAAGTTCTGCAGACTCCAGGGCTCTTCTTCTTCAGCGTCCCTGCAGGAGTAGGATCTGTAGGGACCATCTGGAAGCCCAGGGGGACTGGAATCGTGGGAAAGTCCTCTGGGTCCCACTTGCATACCAGCATTACTGACCTGGGGACGGGGAAGGGAGGGGGCTTCTTTGGTCACCAGCTTTGTTTTCTGATCATCCTGCAGCGGAGCAGAGGCAGTTGGCCCTAGCGGAGAAGTTCAAGGACCTGAAACGCAGCAAGAAGCTGGAGAGCTTCTTGAGTCGAAAGAGGCGCCGTAATGCAGGCAAGGACAGGAGACATCTCCCCTTGAGCAAAGAGTAATAAGGAACTCTGCAGTTCTGCCACCTCCCGGCGCGAAACGGGGCTGCCGGGGTCAGCCTTGGCTGAGCCTGTCCTCTGACCAAGGGCAGAATCGCGGCAGAGTTCTTGGACTGCCCTGCTGGCTGGGCAGAGCGAGCAGCTCCATCTCCAGTGCCTTCCTTGCCACACTGTCTCCACTGGGACGGGCTTCAGCACACCCTGCAGCCCTCCCCTGGAGCCAAGGGCGGCCAGTGAAAGCCAAGCCTCTGCTGCTGTTCCCCAGGCTGAGACTATGTGCAGCTGCCACTTCATGAACACCCTGCCCGTCTTGTCACTCCTCTCTGTGATCCGCTGTGTGTGAGATTTGCCGGTGGCCTGGAAGGACTGGCTGCCTCAGTGGGCCATGGGTGGGTGTCAGAGCTCAGTATTTGGAGGGGATTTAAAGATGACATCACCAAAGCCAGCTCACCCGCTTACCTTTGGCTTTGGCTGGGGGATGGGCGGTGTGGACAGTTTTCCTAGTCGGTCCCATCACAGCCGGCACTCAGACCATCTGACCCACGAGATCAGGAAAGCCCTCCAGCGAGCCTGCTACAAGCCAGTTGACCTCTCAGTACCTTCAGACTGCTCCTCCCCTCAGCCAGGACCTAGAGTGGGCTTTCTGTGGTTCATAGCTGTATTAAAATTCCCCTATTTAAAGTGTACAATTAAGTGGCGTTTAGTGTATTAAGTCTCATGTAGCCTTTGCCAAAATCAACTCTAGAACATTGTCATCATCCCAGGCCCTGTGTGGTTCGCAGTCACCGCCTCTTCCTTCCCAGCTGCTCTTGTCCATCCCGTGGGGCCTAGTGGGTGACGCGGGGCTAACCTCAGGGGAGCCCTTGGAGACCACCCGCTGCTCTGCGGGAGCAAGGCAAGGCTTTCTACTCCCGTGAAAAGAGAAAGGTTCCGAAGCCCACAAGGGACAGTGCTACCCTGTCCTATAGGGTTGCAGTGAGTTGTGTGCGCGCTCTTTGGACAGTTTGTGCATCTGGAGTGTTTGAGAAGGACCTGGTGCTTGGTCACTTGGAGGGGCATCAAAGAGGAAGACCTGGAGGTGAGAGACACGGGTACAACAGTGGGCTCAAATGTAACAATGGGAAGGACGGACGGCGTGGGACTGGGCAGTGCTTCCTGCTGTTCGAACACGGTCATTTGGCGTCGGAGTGGACCATGAGGGCCCCTCACAGCAAGGAGCCCTGGTGGCCTAGTGGGTCCACATGGGGCTGTGATCCGAAAGTCGGCAGTTTGAAACCACCAGCCATTCTGGGGGAGAAAGGCCGGCCTTCTACTGGAAAGAGTCAACAGTCTTGAAGACTTAGGCAGTTAGTTGTACCCTGCCTTAAAGCGTCGCTACGGGCTGGCATCGACTCCTTGGCAGCGAGTTTGGTTTTTGGTAACAGCAGCTTCTAAACGCAGTCAACGTGTGGCTCTGTGTGCTTTTAAAGCAATGTCAACTTGGTATTGACAAGCCAAGGGTCCTCACCAGCTGTAGGACCTGAGCCAGAGCTTTGGGATGGTCCCTCAAAGGGTCAGGGCAGCAAACATTTGTCTCCTGAGTCACGCTAGAAATGAAGCCCAGGGTGTGCATGGTGGGATGGGAAGTCTCCAGGGCAGAGCAGGAAGCCTCAGGTACTTGTGCTTACACAAGAGGGTGGAGGGCAGTCAGCACTGTTCGTAGAATCGAGGCTGACGGAGGCCAGTCGAGTTGGGTGAGACTGTGCCAGAGGGAAGATAGCAAGCAGGCAGGAACCTGTAGGCTGGGGTGCTCTTCACTAGACAGCTTGGGAGTGGGTGCCCCAGTGGGGCGGGGGCTGGGAAAGGCAGGCTGAGGGCCAGGCTGATGGAAGAGGATGACTAAGGGGTTGCTCTATGGTCTCAAAGGAGCCTCGGGGGCAGTGGCAGTCCATCCTCTGCCCCTACAGACAGTGCAGACAGCTCCCAACCGGGGCTTCTGGTGGGCAAGGATGGCCTCTGGGAGCAGGGATCTAAAGAAGGGCATAAAGCTCCCCCACCTGGGCCTAGACCATGGCCTGAGGCCATGAGAGAATCCCGCAGGGACAGATTGGCCCTTAAGCCTGGGCAGTCCATTTGCAACAGATGTCTAAAAGGGTTAAGAAGGGCTCCAGAAGGACTGAAGCACACCTGACCCAGGTGTGGGGACCTGGGTGACACAGGAGTGACCTGTTTGGCTGCTGACTGCAGGGCCAGCTGTTTGAAATCCCCAGCTGCACCTCCAGGGAAAGAAGAGGCTTCCACTCCCAGAAAGTGAGCCTGAAACTCCAGGGGCGGGGGTGTCCTGTCCGGAAGGGTTGCTGTGAGTCAGAACGGACTCAGTGATAGTGTGTGTGTTTGGTTTCATTTCGGATGTGTGGGGAAATTGGACAATGGAGAAGGAGGACCAAAGAACTGATGTCTTTGGATTGTATTGCAGAGAATTCTGAATATACTATGGATTGTCAACTAACAATTCTCTGGCTCGAAGGAGCCAGAATGCTCCTTAGAAGTGGGGATGGTGAGACCTCATCTCTTGTACTTTGGCGATGCTATTGGGGGGACCAAGATCTGGAGAGGCCATCATACTTAACCAGAGGGGCAGTGAGAAAGAAGAAAACCCCCCCACACACACACACGGTGAGTGGAGCAGGACCGCAGTGTGCAGTGGGAACGTTGGGTCAGAAGCAGTTTGGTGTCACCAAGCAGCCCTGATTTCTGGTCCAAAGGTAGAGAGGTGCCCAGGTGACACACCAGCAGTGCCAGTGTGCCCGGGGCTAGCAGGAAGTGTAGGCCATGAGAATGTGTGGGGCCACCAGACTGCCAAGCAGGATGTGCCCTTGTAACCTCTGGTCTGGTCCCCTTTACCCTTGTCCTGGGCACCCTAGCTCCCCGAGCCCTGCCTTCTTTTTTCCTGGGAGACTACTACAAAACTCAACCTTGGAATCCTCACCGGATCCCAGTCTCCTTTGGCCTCTGTTCCCTCCCTCCAAATTCCCTTTTCTTTCCCCTCCTACAGTCTTCCCAGGCCCCCACTCTGGGCTTGCAAGAAGAACCAGGGACTTGGCACCCTAGGTCATCCCTTTGCCTCCTTCCTGATGGCCACGGTCAAGATGTAGAGCTCCACTGGGGCACTGGGCCCCTAGTCTGCCTCCCCCTGCCCCAGCAAGGGCAGGCCAGAGCAGCCTCTCACAGCAGAGACATCGCTGAGAACAAGCCTCCTCTAGAGCATAGTGGTCAGGCTCTGATGGCCAGGGGTGAGCGCAGGCTGGGGAGAGGCGGTGTGGAGGAGCTCGTGGGAAGGAAGAAGGGAGCAGCAGTGGCTCCTGGGTGTGCTGCAACCCAGCGTCCACAGAGCTCCCAAGAGGAGCCCTGGCTTTGGTGCTTGTGGGGCCTGCAGGGGGCATGTTACAAAATTGTGGTCAATATATAACCGGACATTGGGCATTCCAACCATTTTTACACACACAGTTCAGTAACAGTGATGGCGTGAGTCGTAACTATGACCATCAAGGAGCCCTGGTGGCGTAAGTGGGGACGCCTTGAGCTGCGATGTGCGTGGTCGGCAGTTTGACACCGCCAGCAGCTCCGTGAGAAGGACTGCTTTCTACTCCCACGAACAGTCTCAGAAACCACAGGGGACGCTGAGTCAGCAACACCTCCAGGGCAGAGAGCAACTGTCTCCCAAACTTGGTCAATTTCTCAAGTCTCTTTCCAGCCCTAGTCGCCTCTGCAACGGTGGTCTCTGCTCGTGCCTCTTGCAGACACTCCAGATAAACGAGGGGACAGGGGGTTTGCCTTTTTGTGGTAGACTTGCTACCCCCCTTCTGGGTTAGGCTTTGGTTCAGTGTGGCAAGGTCCCGCTTCTCAGTCCTTTGGCCATGATGTGATGTTGCCTAGTCAACTCCACGATGAGATTGCTGGGAGCAGCCAGGCCATTGTGGGAAGATCAGGGTGGAGGGCAACCCCTCCACCAAGCCCCAGCCTGACGATGTCTCCTACATCGGACGTACAAATAAAATGATGTGGAGACCTCCCTTCCCTTCCTCCTGACCTGGGTCTTGGCTGGTGGTCCACCACATTGCTCCTCCATATCCATCTTCAACGATTCTTTAATGATCCTCCTTTCTTGATCCAGCATCACTAGCTCGCTCTGCTCCCTTGTGGAAGCCTGATCACTCTGCCTTCTCTCTTCAGCCTGCCTTACTGCTCTGGGGTGCTATGCCCACCCGCTTTCCTTGGGTTCGCCAACTTGTTCCTGATCTGTAGTTAAATGGTGAGGTATGACAGGCCCGGTGGGCGCTGAGGCCGAGACCCTGGGAGCTGTCAGTGTTCGGTCCTGTTGTCTGTTGACCTTGGACTGTTCCACTTAGCCTCCACCAGCCTTCTCAACCTTGGCAGTTGCAAGAGTTGGGATGGGCCTCCAGCTGAGTGTCTGACTCAGGGACTTGGGCAGGGCTGGGCTCACCCACAACTGTAGCTGCGTGGGCCACTCTCTTGATAAAAATTTCTTCCTTATACATGTGTAAGTGTCTCTTGTCTCGGTTCCCTAGGAACCTTCTGCAGGGGCAGTGAATGATGTTGCGTGGCTCTTCTAGCCAAAGTCTCTTAACTCACCAAATGACCTTGTCCTGCCATGGGTCTGGTAAGAAGGTGGGGAAGAGACTGATAGGATCCACCTGTGAGTCATTGTGAACAAGATTCCCTGGAGTGCCACCCTGCCGGGTATAAAAGAACCCCTCCGAGGAGCTTTCACTACCAGCAAGAGCCAGGAGTGGAGCAAGTCCTCTGGACCCCGAGGTCCCTGCACAGTGAGCCTCCTGGAACCAGAGCATGGAGCAGAGGAGTGAGCTTCCCAGCCCACGGAGCAAGTAAAGCGGAGGCTGGCTTGTGGAGCGGGGTCTCTCTGGGCACTGGAGGGGGAGGACTCACACAGCGACAGACAGACCGCTTGAGGGGAATGCCTTCTGGTTGAGGCTTCACCCCAGGGAACTTTGTAACATCTCCCTTGCATTGCAACCTATTAACTTCCGTAATGAACCCTTTCATCAGGAATACTGCCTACAGCCATGGCAGTGGTTATAGAGTCTGTGTGTAAGAAGTAGTAACTATCGAGACACACCTTCCGTGCTGGGTTTATTCTGAGAGGGTGCCGTGGACATCCTCCTGTCTTGGGGTGACAAGGACAGAGGAGGAGGGGCTCTTTTGAGCACAAGCTTCCCCTTCACGGGCTCATCAAAGCCCCACAGATGACTGGTCCAATCCTACAAACGAGGAGGACGGCTTCAGGTTCATCTGCCCACATCAAACTGCCCAGCGAGAGGCCGGGGTGGATCAAGAGCCTGGCCTTCAGCTTGCCGGATGAAAGCACTTGGGAGCCCCGCCCTCTGAGCAGGGGCTGGCATCTCTGTGCACTCCACCCTCGCCCCTGTACCTAGAGCCCCCTAAAAAATGGCCCTCCTCGATACTCACCTTCATGAAATGATCACCAAAGAGAAGGGTACTACAGCAAAGTGTGGTGAAGAAAGTAGATGGTGCCCAGCTATCAGAGTAGTATCTGAGGTCTTAAAGGCTTGTACACAAGGAGTCATCTAAGAAGTCAACTAAGTCCACAGGGAAGAAGCACACCTGCTAGTGTGACCCAAAGATGACAATTAGAAAATGTGGATATGGCTAAGGGAAAAGCATTAGAGCTAAAATTAAGAACACCCAATTTGTAGAAGGGTGCAGAGGATAGTGGGAGCCCCAAACCCATCTGCTGGGAGATCCCCTGTAGCCACAGGCAAGTCTTCAACAGCCTCACTAACAGGCAGAGACCTTTGCCATCACGATTGTGCTGGGTACTGGGCTGGTTGACCTCCCTAGAGACCTGACCTGAATTTGTTCTGGGTGCAAGTATCTCTCATTTGTTCTGTGACAGAAATATCTCCCCTAGCTTTTTGAATGATGGGAGACTTTTCTTACTCGTTATTTGTATTTTCTGTCTTTATATTATTATCCTTACCACCTTATTTCTATTTTGTTTTTTATTGTTCCTGTTGAGTTTCCCAGTTTGTGCAGCACAGGAGTGGGTGCACAGTGAGAATAACTGATGCAAGGGTTGGTAGGGGGTGTAGGGTGGGGGGGAGAAGAGAGTGATGGGGAGGGAAAGGGGGTTTCAGGAGGAAACAATGGAGGGGGAAGGGAGCACTAGAACTGATTGATTACGCACCCATTTTAAAGGCAATCTAACCATGGAGGGGGGCATGATCTAAAATTGATGTGGTAATGATTATACCATTTTCCTTGATTTGACGGAACGACTGACTGAACTGTTGAATTGCATAATATGTAAATCTGGTGCCAATAAAACTGTTGTGGCAAAAACAAACTCTGCCTGTGACTGAATCGAGTCCACGCCAGCCCAGAGTAGCCCGAGAACGTCTGAGACTGGCCGATTGAGAGAGTGGAAGCCCCTTTCTCCCACGGGGCAGCTGGTGGTTTGGAACTGCTGGCCTTGCAGATCACAGCCCAGAGCATGATCACACCACCTGGGCACCTAGGAACAGGTTTGCTAAGTCACATATGGCCCCACTTGACCTTCTCACGCACAAGCTGGCTTCCTGGTGTCATGAGACAGCTTCAACAGAAGGTCTCAGATTTCAGCCAGGAAAGCCCCCCTCTCACAACACTGCAGTCACCACACACACACAGCCACAGCATCACACCCCTGCATTTTTTTTATTTCTGTAGAAAGCCCTACCCTGCCTGCCCCGGGCTGCTCCTCGGGGCTACCGGAAGGTAGAGAAGGTCTGGGTGCCGGTGCAGGAGGCATAGGGCACGCCCCGAGAGCGGATCTGCAGGGTGTGGAAAGTGAGGGGTGGGTTGGGGCCCGAGGAGCCTGGGTTCAGGGACTCGGTATGTGGCTCCATCACTGTCACAGGGACAGCATACAGCAGCACCTGGGGCCGGTCGTCCTGGCGTCTCAAGGTGCCCTTGCTCAGGAGGTGCAGGACGCAGGAGAGGACGTCTGCACTGCTGCAGGCAGACCCCTGGCCCAGGCTGCTGACCAGGCCCCGGGGAGGGCATGGGCCCTTCTGCCAAGCCTCCAGCACCTGGCACGGGATGGACAAGGTCAAAGACTCACCACCACGGCCAGGGCAGGAAGTTCCTGTGGACATTAAGCACCACCCACCTCCCTCCCCACATCTCCAGGTGCCACAACGCACAGTGGCTTCTCACACGGGCCCTCCAATGGACCGTCTGCCCCCCCCCCCAAGCTCTACCCCCGCCTACCAAGCAGACCAGCTGGTCAATGTGCAGCCCCTCGTCGCCATGGGCCTTGAGGATCCGGACGATGACGCAGTTCAGGAGGTTCCGTCTCTTCTCTAAGTTCCGGCCCTCTTCGTCCTCCGCTTTCAGGTACGTCTTGGGTGGGATGAGCCACACGTTGCCCCTCCTTGGCCGGGGCTCCTCGCTGTCCTCTCTGATCTTGAGCAGCCCTGCAAGAAGTGCCCATCACTCAGGGCGCCTGCCAGCCAGCCTGGCAGAGGCCTCTGTGGCCCGCTAGGCCTACCTCCCGGGGCATCTTTGTGCTCCTGCAGGTCCAAGGGGCCTCTTGAAGAGGTGAGGGGCCCGATTGCTGGGTTCAGCATGTCGGGGGAGAGCCCAGAGAGCTCCAGCAGCCTCTCCACGGAGATGGCCTGGGGGGGAGATGAGGACGAGAGTTGGGCCAACCCCGGGGTGCAGGAGAGCGGGAAAGCAAGGTGCAGGCTGAGGTGGGAAGGAGCGGGCACAGACGGGCTGGGCACCTTCAGGTCATTGAGGTACAGCAGCAGCCACATCTGCACGGTGGACACATGCAGGGTCTGGTCCCCAAACTGCAGCTCCGCCCGGCCCAGCCACGTCCACTGCAGCCGTCTTTTCGGACCTCGTCCCACGCTGGGGTGAGCTGGAGGTATGGGCAGAAGCAGGGGGCACAGAGCAGGGGAACGTCTTTGCCTGGGCCGGTGTCAGGAAGCAGGACCCCATCATCGGCCACACAGTGGTTTCTGCTCTGAGCTTCTAGATCCCGATAGATCCCAGCCTCCTCAGCAAGCCATGGGGGTCTGTGAGCCTACCCTGTGTCCACCCGTGCCTGGCAGTCGCCGATGAATGCCTTTTAAAGAGCTCCACTCTGCTTTTGAAACCACCGGGAACTGAGGACTGACTGGGGTTCTCATCCGACCAGATTTCCCCGTCCTTCCTGGCTAAGCCTGAGCGCTTCCTGAGGGCAGGCACGGAGTCTCCCCGCTGCTCCTATGGCTGTGCGGTGGCACTGAGAACAGGAGGCAGGTGCCTGCCACAGGTGCCAAGGTGCCCTCGCCTGCCTGCCTTCCTCCGCCCAGGTCTTTACTTTATGGGCAGACAAGGACAATGTGGAAACCTGGTGCCCGAGAGCCTCCATCCCCGGCCCCTAAAGCCCAGTACCCTGCCCTCTTCTCCAGTCCACTGGCCTGTCTTCACTGCCGGACAGAGTCCTGGCCCTCAAGTCTACCTCTTTCTCATCAGGGACCCCCTTCTCCCCACCCCCACCCCGGATGTCAGTCCCTTTCCCGGTGCCCAGTTCCGTCTGCCCCCTGCTGCTCACTCGTGTTGTAGAAGTTGGAGTATCGGTTCAGGGTGCCCCTCAGGTAGGAGGGCAGGCAGGCCCTGGGGTTGAGCACATGGCAGATGGAGGAGATGGGCCAGCAGCTCGGTGACAGGACAAGCACAGACACTTCCGGCATGGCCCCCTCGTAGAAGAGGTCTTCATTCTCCTCCTCCTGCTCTGCGGCTGCTGCCTCTTCTCCCTCTCGCCCATTCGGCTGGCCACTGGCCCCGTGTCCCACCTGAAGGACCAGCGAAACTGAGCAACCCCAGCCACAGAGTCCATGCCGATGGACTCACAGTGACCCTACAGGACAGGGTAGAACTGCCCCTGTGGGTTTTTGAGACGGTCACTGTTGATGGGAGTGGCATGTAACCCCGTCTTTCTATTAGGGGTTCAAACGGGCTAGCCTCATGGTTAGCAGCCACCAGGGCTCCTTGAAGGAAGGAACCCGGGGTTCCCCAGAGCCCGTGATCCTCCTCCACTCTGCTCCATCCTCCCGGCCCTCCCGTGTGCCCCACCCTGCCCTGACCTGATCCTTCTGCTCAGAATCATCCAGCTTCAGGAGCTCCTGGTCGAGCCGCTGGAGCTGGTAGACGTGGAACTGGTGCTGCAGCTCCTCAGAGGTGCGCAGGCTCTGCAGCATCTGCTGGGGGAGGCGGTTGGGGAAGCAGGGACCGACCTGCTCCAGCACGGCCCCCTCCAGCCAGCTCGGGCCCACGCCCAGGAGTCGGTCCGCCATGTAGTGCCTGCAGCACACACACAGCCCCGGTGAGCCTCAGTGGGGGTGCTCAGGCTCCCCTTCCAGGACCCCAGCCTGCTTAGTCCCCATGAGCCAGCCTTGGACCGGTCATCCGGCCTCCCTCTTGGACCCCACTCACTGGTAATAATGTTCAAACGTCGTGGCTATCTCCAGGCCAGAGAATACGAGCACAGACTCCAGGCATCGCTGCAGCTGGGCCAGCATCTCCATCCCCCGGACCCCACCAATCCGGCTGCCCTGGATCCGCTGGTCGATGTGGCGGGCAAACTGCTCACTCACCTAGACATTGGGGATGGGCACAGGGGAGTCAGTGGTGGGCGGGCAGCAAGGAGGGGCTGTGAAGGCCGACAGGAATAGCTGGCGGCTTCCTAAACGGCTCCACACTTGGATAAAACGATGTGATCAGTGTGTGAGCCATGGCAATAATGGACAATGCTAGCAATTAGGAAGCGTGTGCTTTCCACAGATCAAGCCCCTGCCAGCCTTTAAAGGGGGAAATGGGTTGCACAAAGATGATCAGGCTGTAAGGCAACTGAGAGGAGAGTAACTAACGGGGAGCGTGGGTGTCCCTGCCCGGATTAACACTGAGGGAAGGTTCTCTCGCTGCTCATTCTTCCGGCTTCAGCTCCTCTCAGCCCTACACCGGAAGTGCTAATGGCGCATTGGCCGAACAAATGGGACCGATTAAGCAGATTACAGTACATGCTGGAGCACGGAGTGACACATCACTCGGAGATGGGACTGACTCAGACAGCAGTGAGTTATCTTAGATCAGCGGTTCTCAACCTGTGGGTCGAGACCCCTTTTTTTTGGGGGGGGGGCTCAAATGACCCTTTCGCAGGGATCACCTGATTCATAATAGCAGCAAAATGACAGTGATGAAGTAGCAACGAAAATAACTTTATGGTTGGGGGCGGGGGTCCACCACAACATGCGAAACTGTATGAAAGGGTCGTGGCATTAGGGAGGTAGAGAATCACTGTCTTAGATGGACTTCTTGCCAACGTCAAAAACCGAGGGCAAAGGGCAACACTGAAAAAGGCTTCTGGTGTCATCACGTCCCAGCAACCCTCCAGGGCAGGGCAGAGCAGTCCCCGTGGGCTCCAGAGACTGTCACTCCTTACGCCTCGTCTTTCCAGTGTAGACTGGCTGGTGGTTTCGAAATGCCAACCTGGTGGTTAGCAGCCACCAGGCCTGCCGTGATTGGAAGAAAGTAGGGGATAAAGATGGGGAGATTGGGGAATGGGTGAGGGCGATGATATAACAACAGGCTATCCATCATTATTGTCACTGGACTGTCCCCGACATGAGTGTAGCGAGTAAAGGCTTTGTTACCCATATGTTTACCACGATTTAAAAAGAAAAACTGACAACAGCAGAGAGCACGGTAGCTGCACCATGCATTAATGCATCCAAACTGAAGTGGCACTGTAGGCTGCTAAATCACCAGGTCAGTGGTTCAGCCCTGCCAGCTGCTCAGAGGGAGAACAATGAGGCCGTGCGTTTCTGTAAAGCTGTATAGTCTCAGCCCAAGGACGTTGTACTCTGGCCTACAGGGCAGCTAGGGGAGCTGGTGGTGTAGTGGTTATTTGTTGAGCGGCTACCGACAAGGTCAGCAGTTCAAAACCGTCAGCCACGCTGAGGGAGAAAGAAGGGGCTTTCTACTCCCACAAAGGGTTCACAGGCAGTTCGACCCTGGCCTGGCCTGTCCTGTCGGGTTGCCATGGGTTGAAAGTGACGGATGGCTGTGCGTTCATAGGGGTGCTGTGGACTGGATGGCAGTGGAGTTGGGGACCCTGAAGTAGATAAGGGGGACACAGTGTGAGTCACTATTTTTCAAAAGTGTGCGAAGACAGCTGTGTACGCATGCATACACACCTCCGAGGGGGCACGACCTTTTCATTTGATTTTCCCACAAATTTCTGAAGCCCCCTGGCATTCAGGTTGCCCTTATTCCTGCAGTTACTCGTGAAGTCCGTGTTGCTTGCTGAGCAAGTGGGACCAGAGGGAGGGGCCATGATGAGGCTGTGGGACTACGGGGTGGGGGTAGGGTTCGTTTTGTGGGTGGCTTACGTGGGCCGCTCTGAGGAAGGGGAGCCTCAGCAGGGCCCCGGCACAGCCGTTCTGCAGAGCCAGCAAGAAGGCTGCCCGCGGGCCGAACAGCTCGGTGCTGGCTTTCTGCAGCTTATCGAAGTGTTCGCAGTAGCGAGGCACGAAGTCGTCATCCTGCCAGTACGAAGTCAGGAACTTGTTCACCTGAAGGGCAGGGGCAGGAGCATGGTGAGGCCTGTCACCCCCCACCCCTGCCCCAAGCTCAGCTCTGCCCCGCCCCCTGCCGCTGCCCACCTGCTCTTCCACCACCGCCCGCCAGCAGCGTGTCAGGTTCCTCATGATGCTGCTCGGGAGCCCCCGGGTGGCCAGGGAGCTCCAGTCTCGACTCCTGTTCCTGCCCTCTGTGGGGACAGGGCACGTGGCAGAGGCCAGGAGGGGCAGCCCTCTGACTCTGGCCCCGTCCAAGGCTGAGGGAGAGAGGGGCCCCTCCCGGACACCCTGCCACCAGAAAGGAAGCTTCTGGACGTGGTGACACACATTTGGAAGATGAGCGGGCCGGACCCTCTGGAGGAAGGGACGGGAAGCAAGGAGCCGCCGTGTACGTGCAAGGACTCCGATCCCCGGTACTCACTGGGCCGAGGCAGGGCCACCACGGGAGTGGGCACCTCACAGGGCTCGACGTGCACCAGCAGGTGGGTGAGGCGGCGCACGCGGGAGGAGAAAGCGGCCGCACGGCTCTGGGGATTGTGGGCAGCGTCCTTGCACTCCAGGTACTGGTCCAGCAGCCAGCCCAGGGCACTGATGCCATCCTCATCTGGGGTGCAGGGGGACGGGACGGGAGACACAAGTTGGGCGGGGCCAAAGGGGGGTGTTGTGAGATGGGGGGTAGGGGAGGAGGACTAGTTGGAATGGCAGGGCCTAAGCTGATGGTGTCAGCTGGTACCTGGGAGACAGGGGGCCTGGGGCCATGGGAGGAGGGGCCGAGGGCAGGAACCAGCAGAGCCCAGGGGGTAAGCTGGGTGGGTCTAGGCTTCAGGGGGCACAAGCCACGGGGTGGGGTCAAGGTCAGAGAACGGGGGTTACCAGGGGAGGTGACGTTCTGCACCAGTGGGCTGACCAGCGCCTCCCAGCACGTCTTGCCCAGTGCTTGCGCGGCCTCCATGTCTGGGAGGAAACGGTCAGCGAAACTCTGCTCCTGGCGCAGAGCCCCGTTGAGTCTGGGGACAGGGACGGGGCAGAGGGAGTTTCCCAGTTAGTTCCTATGAGACGTCCACCATCATTTCATTCCATTTCCCATGAATTTTCAGACGCTCCCTCATGGGAATGATCTCAATATCCACTTTACAAACAGATCAAGTCCCCACCTGGTAGTCCAGACTTCTACCCCTCACCCTGCCCCTACACCTCATCCCTCCCCAGGACGACTCCCCGCTTTCCACACCACACCCCCACACCCAGGTCTCCAATCATCTCCCCTTTGCGGCAGAGCCAGGCGCCTGCTGAGGTGCACCCTTGCTCCACACACCTGGTGCTGAGGTGGAGCAGGCCCCTGCGGTCCCCGGCCACATCCTGGCTCCAGGCCTGCGCCCTCAGCATGTAGAAAAGGCGCGTGTGGCGACACAGCTGCTCCCGGAACACTGGCCAGAAGGTGGGCTTGGGGCCCAGGATTTCCAGCCCCCGGATGCGCGTATCAATGCCACCCTGCAATGGGCACGGTGGTTTCCACCTTCCTCTGGATGGCGCTGGGCACCCCGGCCAGCCGCCTCCGGAGAGCTGCCCGGACCCAGGCTGGAGCTCTGGCTCAAGATCTCAGCACCATCCCAGGGCTCAGGGGGCTCTCCCAGGAAGGGGTGGGTGACACGCCAACCCCCCAGCCCCACCCCACCTGCTGGCAGCGCTTTATGCGGATCTGGATGACGGGCCAGAAGCGGTTCAGGCCCTCCAGGAGGACCACCCGGCTGGCGGCGGGCAGCACGTTGACCTGGCAGGGGGGCAGAATCAGTGCTGAGAGCAAGCCCGTCTGTTCCAGCCCTGCCCTCCCTGCTCAGAGCTTCACACCATCACCTGGGGACTGCAACTAGGGAGGGGCTTAGGATGTTAGTGGTCTGGGCAGGAGGGCAGCTTCTGGGAGGGGTGGGTGGTGGTGCGGCATAGGGGCCCCTACCGTGGCGAGTTCCGTGTTAAGCAAATTGGTGGTGTCGCCCCCGAAAACCACCACCCTGGCTGGCATGTAGCTCGAGTCCTCACCAGACACCAGCAGAGCCAACTGCCTGGCAAGGAAAGGAGGTGCCTGTCAGAACTTGGACCTGTCAGGTCCTCGCAGATGCCGCTTAGGGGTCTCCCGACCTCGCTCTGGGGCCCAGGGCCCCCCCCCAACCCACGCAGGGAAGTCACCAGCAATGTAGGTGTGAGCCTGGGCCCAGGTGTGGGCGCGAGTTACCGGAGAAGGACGCCCTGGCGCATGTGTAGGGTGATGGCATGGGAGCCGACGTAGCCGTTGGACTCCCAGTAGGTCTTGGGGTTCCGGTCCGTCAGCCGGCTGGCCCGGTGCGGGTTGGAAGACACCTCGACCTTCTCCCAGCACTGGTCCTCCTTCACTTCCACGCTGGAGCCTGAGGGTTGGCGGGGGAGGTCAGGGTCACGGCCAGTGGGCTGTGAGGCGCGCGGGGAGACAAAGGCAGGTGAGGGCGCACAGGCACGGACCCTGGCACAGGTGTCTGAGGAACACGTCGAAGAAGGGGATGTTGATGGGCCGGTGCGTTCGTCGGTGGTCCTCGATCTGGCCCAGCACCATCTGCAGCGGGAACAGCAGAGAGAAGCTCACATAGCCACGGGGCCGGAATGAGGAAGAGGGGCCAGGAATTCCATTCCAGCTTCACCGGAATCCCCTGCTTGCAGTTCCCGGCCTCCTGGAGCACAGTCCGGCCCTTGCTGGCGCTGCAGCTCCCCCAGCCTTCCCCCCAGCTCCCCCAGCCCCCTCCCAGCCCAAGGCCTGACCGACCTGGATGCAGCCTCCCAGGATGTTGGTGGTGAGCTTCCGGTAGAGGTGTCCATGCTTCTCACACTTGAACACCATGTCCCTCAGCTCCTGAGCCATCTCCAGCTTCCCCAGGTGCTTCTCCAGGGCTTTGGAGATGGCGTCCCGGGCGCCCAGCTGGTTCAGCACCACGGCATAGTCCCTGCTCGCCGAGGCCAGACGGTGCAGGAATAAGATCAGTTCCTGAAGCACCTGGGGCAGAGTCAGGGTCAGGGTCAGGGCAGTGGGTAAAGGGACAGGGCAGGGACCACAGGGCTGTGAGTCCTTTACCCCCATGGTGTGCTGAGTGTCGGGGACACTGCGTGAACAACACAGAGTGAGAAATATAAGACAAGGCGGGCACACACGAGAGCCAGGTGGGGTTAGACAACCGGAAACAGGTGGCAAGGGGAAAAGCCAGGCGCCGCCCTGCCCTCTGGGCTCTCAGGCCACTGGTGATGCTGGTGGCTGGGTCACGGAGCATCCCTAGGGGCTGGTCTCATTAGGTCCAGTGGCACAGTTGTGGGAGGCCCAGGCACCAAGCACAGACACCCTGAGAGGAAGCGGACCCTCGGGGAGGTCCCTCAGAAAAGTCTAGAACACAGTGGAAGGTGAGTGTGGCAGACACCCACCATCACCATGATCCTAGTCTCTGAACCCTTCCTTCCCAAGCCTTCTGTGCCCAGACCCCCAGCTCCTCCAGGGAACTGGAAGCAACACCCCATCCCCCTTCTTCCTGTACCAAACTCCCCAGAACAACCCCAAGCCCCAAACCCAGTGCCAATGAGTCTCTTCCGATTCACAGCGACTCTACAGAGGGTTTCCAGGCTGCCCATCCTACAGGGCAGATAAAGGGGCAGGCAGCTTTATCTTTCTCCCGGATAGCAGCTGATGGCTTTGAACCTACGAGCTGGTGGTTAGTAGCTGGATGCTTATTCCACAGGGCCACCAGGGATCCTTCCTTTCTCCCACAGGCCAGCTAAACCTAACAGTGGACTCGCTAGCTACAGACATTTCTCTCTAGGACGTGTTGGGTGTCTGGATCGTGCCCACGTGCTACCCAGAGGCACCTCGGAAGAAAGGCCTGGTGTGATCTACTCCTGGAAAACCAGCCCCTGAAAAAGTCTGGGGCACAGTCCCACTCGGCTCACCATGCGTGAGTGAGTCGGGGTGGCCTCAGCAGCCCCTGGTTTTGGGGTACGGAGACACTCACAGTCATAGATAGATACATTAACCTTTGGATTTGCTTATGTTTGCAGAAAGAAGCACAGCAAGGGCACAGAGATTAATGCACGTGGTTAACAATCAGGGATGTGTCGAGTGGGAGGGGGAGTCGGGAGCACAGGGATTCGGGCGGCGGGAACAAGACTTCTTGCCATAGCTACCTTGTTTGAATTTGTGAAGCGTTATGAATGGGTTACCTATTTTAAAAAAATAGAATTCAATTTGAAAAAGGGAACCCAAACCAATCCAGAGCCTTGCCCAGGGTGTCTGTCTGGCCAGGGGCTGTCCAACGGCCTCTGCCTCCCGGCTTCCCCTCCCCGAGTGGCACGGGTACCTCTCGGTCAGTGTTTGGGGACCGCAGGCAGGACATGCAGGCGTCCATGGCCTCGTGCCAGGGCAGCAGCAACGCCTCAGGGAAGTCGACCAGGCGCGTCAGGATTCTGGGGGTCAGGGGAGCAGAGAGATGTCCAGCCAGCCTCAGAGACATCCCCTTGGCCTCTTCCCCCTGCTGGCCCCTCACCTCATTGCAGACAGGTGCAGGGCCTTGTTGGAGGCTGGCGTGCCCAGGCTGCGCAGGAGGGCGAGGAAGGGCTGAGGCTGCCGCTGGAGCTGCAGCAGGAGCCGCTTGGCCTCCAGCTCCTGAGTGCCCACGGGGCTGAAGGTTCGCTCCAGATCCAGGAGGATGTCCCCCGCAGGGCCGTACCCCTCCACCAGCTGCTGCAGGGGACTGCTGCACCCCGGGGTCTTGGGTTCTTTTGCTACAGGAAGGCGGGGGAAAGGGGGTGTCATAAGAGTTGGTCGTTGTTAGTGATCTGAAGGCTCTAAATAAGACAGTCGTAACTCTCTCTCTTTCCCCCTAATTACCCCTACAAACATTTTTGATAGGTTTTTTGTTTGTTTCTTTCTCAAAGTTAGGTTTTGTTTTTTCAGTGCAAAATGGCTGTGGGCCAGGAGGTTAAAGGCTCAAGTCCACCCAAAGCTGCCTCAGAAGAAAGGCCTGGTGACCAACTCCCACCCACCGCCAAGGCCACCAGTAACAAGAGCCCTGTGGAGCCTGGTCCCGTGGACACACGAGGTCCCCTGAGTTACAGCCCACTGGAGGACAGCCTGCCAGGTACAAGTTTTAGGACATCAGATGGCTTTCATGGCTTTATGTGACAAATTTTGTTCTTAAGGTAGCAAACCAGTTTCCTATCTGCAAGTAGCAGAGTATTGCCCTAGGTTGAGGATCACGTGATAACTTGTTTCTCTCCACAATTGAAAAAAAAAAAAAAAGGTTAATTGCGGGGACTTTGTAAGAATCTTTCGCCATGCTACATTCTAACTTTACGCCACCCTCTCCTTTCTCTGGAGGGAGCAGCATGCCCTCGTCTCCATGTGCTGCTGCTTCTACGGCTCAGACTCTCCCCAGGGCGATGACAGACAGGTGAGCAGAGCGCCCCTCCTGGGCCTAACGCCTCTCTGAAGGCACGTCAGCTCAGCTCAGCTGCTGCTGCAGCCTGGCCTCCCACCTGCTCGGGATGCATCTTCTGGTGGCTGAGGCCGGGCCTGGGCTTCCAGAAAGGGTGGGTAGGGCGGCTGCCCTGCCAGGGTCTCAGGCCCGTACTTCCGGTAGACGCGGCAGTTGCGGAGGTCCCGGAGGGCGCTGTCGTCAAGCCGCTGTGGCAGAGCCAGCAGCAGGTCCTGGGCTAGCTCCACGGGCACGGCCAGCTCCGTCAGGAGCTCGTCATCCAGAATCTGCAGGCAGCAGAGGGGCTCACCACTCCGGTTGACTCCAGATCCCTCCACCAGGCCCCTCCCTCCGCTTCCCACCCCAGCACTACCTCCCCGTCCAGGTTCTCCTGCAGGATCTGCAAGACCTCCTGGTGGTCAGGGTCTTCCAGCTTCTTGACAAAGAAGAGGAGCTCCCACCACTCGGCCTGGGTCAGGTGCTCCGCCTCCTCGGCGTCCTCGTCCTCGGGCAGGGCGTAAGGCGCAGCGTAAAGCTCCGCCATGGGCTTCCACCGCCAGGAGGGCGGCTCTGGGGAAGCGGGGCGGAGGCACAGGGATGTCACCCTCAGCCAGCCAGGCCACAGCTGCCCCAGACTGAGCCTGCCTCCCCGGGCTCACCTCCGACACCCAGGGCTCCACCTCCAACCGCCCCCTGGTCCGCATCAGCGTCGGCCACGAACTCAATGTCTTCCTCAAAGCCCAGGACCTCCAGCATGTGCCAGTGCACCCAGTAGGTGCGGCCCGTTGACTCCCACCGCACCTGGAGGGCAGGGCAAAGAAGTGGGGCAGGGGCCCTCCCTTAACGATGGTTGACTGGCTGCAGCCCTCCTCTCGGCGATCCTCAATAGCTCAGGCCCCTCGCTGGCTTAACTCACGTCACCGACTGGATGCCGACTCACGGCAGCCCTGTAGGATGGGGCACCGCCCCTGTGAGTTTCCTAATAGAGCATCTTTCTCCCCTGGAGCAGCTGGTGGTGTAGAGCTGCTGCCCTTGTGCACGGCTGAATGTGTCACCCCTACGCCACCAGGGCTCATCCTCAACAGCTTCAGTCTCTCTAACCCAATCCCCCCAGCCCCCCCACCGGCAAGTCCTGCTCTGTGTGAGTGTCTCCCCGACTTCATCACCCATTCCAGATCCACTCAAGCTTCCAGTCTGGACGCTGCCCCAGGGGGGTCCATTTCATCATCCCAACTCCCTCCAGGGAATTTTCTCCTCTTGGGTGGCCAGGTAGAGCCTGCTGCACGGAAGCCCTAGTCACGTCCCAGCAGTGTGTCATCCCCCCCACCCCCGCAGACTCACCTGCACAGGGGGCACGCCGTTGTTGCTCTGCCGGAACTCGCCCTCGTCCCCGGCACTGATCTCCTCGTAATCGTCCAGCATGCGCACGCGCATCCCGGGCTGCAACGTGTCCCGCACGTACAAGGCATAGGTGTTGCCACTTGCAAACTCAGAGCGAGGGCGGAAGCGCCTGGACCTCCTGAGCCCCCGCTGGGCCTGGGCAGCCGGGAGCTCCAGGTCTGCATTTGCGGGCTGCGGCTGGAAAATGGATCCGGTGGGCCGTGTCCAGCTCCCAGGTCTGCTGGAGGCCTGGTCCCAGCGCATGGCCTGCACCAGCTCTGAGATCAGGCTGCCCATGGCCATACTGAATTCCAGCTCCAGCCGGCTCCTCTCGGCATTGAACTCCTCCGGAGCAGAGATGTTCTGGGCGCCGGGGTCTGCGGCGTTATCATTCAGTTGGTCCAGGAGCGCAGCGACTTGCAAATAGCGCTTCACCAGAGAGAAGAGCAGCCTTCCTGGGACCTGAAGGATAGCATCTTTGGCCTGCGTCCACCGGGGCCCAGCTTTAGTCCCTCTCTCCACACTGGCCTCTAGAGACAAGTGCCAAGGCTTGGTCCCTAGAGCTCAGAGTTCCTGGTTCTCCCCACCCGCTGCGCCCCACAAAATACCTGTGGCAGCTGAATGCCTTCGAACGACATGGGGTGTTCAGAGAGCGTGGCCTGGGCGAACAGAGCCAGCAGAGCACAGCGGCTGTCAAAGTCCAGGTGCTTCTCAATGGCCTCTTGCTGGCTCAGCGACAGAAGGATCTGGGTCCGGGTCCCTGGAACCCACACCCCCATCAGTAACTGCTGCCTAACCTCACCCTTGCCACACCTCGCTCCTAGACCCGCTATGCTGTCCACCACACTGGGACCCAGTTTTCTGCAAAAACCAGAACTCACTCTTACTCATATCTGTATGTACTTAAGTGCGTGTGCACACACACATACACACATACCTCACTTCCGTTGAGTTGATGCCGACTCAGTGACCCTATAGGACAGAGTAGAACTGCCCTGTGATTTTCCCAGATTGTAACTCTTTACAGGAGTAGAAAGCCATGTCTTTCTCCCATGTAGCAGCTGGTGGTTTTGAACTGCTGACCTTGAGGACTGCTGCTCAAATTCTAACTACTAAGCCACCAGGGCTCCTATGAATACATAAGGGGACTTCCAAAAGTGTGTGTGTGTGTGTGGGATGGTATCATCTTTGGATTCCACCCAATGTTTGAAGTCCCCTTGTATATATGTACAAGGAGGCTTCAAAATGCTCAGAGAAAAGTGGACTTAAAAGAGAACAGGATTGCTTGGTGCATTTTTTGAAGTCCCCTTATATGTAAGAAACCGGGTGGTGTGATGACAGAGCATTCGACTGCTGACTGACAGGGTTCGCAGATCGAGGGATGGCTCCTGGGGAGGCAGACTGGCGATCCGTTGCTATAAACAGTCCGTAAAGATCACAACCCAGAAGGTAAGGCAGTTCTACTCTGGGCATCACTGAGTGATGGCACTTAACAACACACACACACACACACACACACGCATGCATGTGAATATACACATAACCCTTATCCATCATATACATACATACACATATGTATATATATTGCAGTTCTACTCTGGGCATCACTGAGTGATGGCACCTAACAATACACACACACACGCATGTGAATATACACATAACCCTTATCCATCATATACATATGTATACATACATATATATATATATATATATAGATATATATGCAACAGGTAGAGTTGTCCCTTTGCATGGAAAGCCAATGAGTTAACATGAGGTTCTGGAGGATGCGAACAACAGATGCTCACACGCCTGCCTTCCCTCGTCCTTTCCCTCCAATTCTGAGAGAAAAGCAACACACTCGTTTCCGTACTGATGATGTGCGTCAGAGGCTCCAGATGCTGTCCTGCGACCCCTGAGTGGACCCGGCCCCTCCCAACTTTCCTGCCCTCCTGACAACGGCCCTCACCAGCATCATGGGAGGCCAGGGCTTGGATCATCCGGCCGGCGCTCCAACGCATCTGGTAGTCAGGACTACTCAACATGTGCATGAGCAAGTCCAGGACCCTGGGGTCCTTGAAGACCCCCGCGAGGGGCTCGATGCTGGCGTAGGCACTCAGCACATGGACGGTGTGAAGCAGAGGGGCAGGAGGGATGGCGCCCATCCCCTCTTCCAGCTGCCGAAGGGCCCTCTGAAGCAGGGACTTCACGTCCGTCTCCATCTCTCCCAGCACCGCTCTGTCCAGGGCCCCGGCCTCCCTGGCGGACTCCGGGGAGGCACGGGGCACCTGGCCATCTTCCCCCAGCATCTTGTGGCAGTTGGCATAGATCTCATCGTTGGACATCCACAGCAGGATGTGCTCCGCCTTGCAGTCCACTGGGTTCGATCCCTCGTCCCCATCGTCTCCCCGTCGGAGGACCAGCCAGCGGATCTGGTACTCTGGGTGCCCATCATGGCCCACCCTCTGGCGGATCAGCTCATCAGGGTAGGCATGCAGGCCGGGCCCCAGGGGCACCCGGAATTCTCTGAAGCGGAGCTCCCCCACCATCCTGGCACCTGGGACACACACCATACAAGGGAAAGAACAGACAAGCAGGAGTGAGAGGGGAGGCAACAGTGTCTTGGACATCCAGGAGTTGTGGAAGCAAATGTCGCAACAGCTGTCGGGGCAGGGAGGGAGGCTGGGGGGCCAGGAGTTGCCTGCTGCAGGGCTGGGTGGGGCCCGGCCTGAGCAAGGCCACATTGGGGTGTTTGTTCTGAGAAAATAGGGGATTTGGGGCTGAAAGGCGGGCCTCCAAGGCCCTGCTTCCCATAGCAGCTTGGCTTGGAGCAATGGGGTGGAGGAGGGGCCAGGGCAGCCATGCAGTTACAAGTGGATTTCTAAGCCTGCCCATCTCCTTCCTAGGCGCACAGGGGAAGATGGGGAAGGTTAGACGGATGATGTGAGGTGTGTGGGAAAGACACAGATGTGAGAGACCAGAGATCTGGTGGGGAGGAGGGGAGCAGTATCCAAGGGGCTCAGGGGAAGGGGCTGGGGGGTGGGGCGCTGGAGGCGCCCAGGGCTCCATCAGCTGGAGCAGGCGCGGAAACCCTAGGTCCCGGAGAAGGCGCACAGGAGACGCCACAGGTGAGGGGTGCAAGGCTTGCTGCCTGCCTACGGGTGGGGGTCCCGGTAAGCAGGGGTGCGCGCGGCAAGGAGGGTGGGTGAGGGGCGCCAGGCCCGATAAACTCAGGAAGTGAGATTGCGGGGGAAGGGCCACGATCGGGTGACCGAGAGATCTGGTCAGCTAGCGGACAGGCAACCCAGGTAGGGGCAGGGGGCCGCGGCGGGGCTCTGGCCACCTCAGAAGCCGATGGGGTCTTGGAGCGAGGCCCGTCCTTCTTCCCAGAGCCAGGGGGACACGGCGCAGGCGATGGCGGCGACGGCTGACGACTTAGGCCGGGGCTGGGTCCCCTAAGGGGTCCGGCGGGAGGGGCGTGCTTCTGCAGGGCGGGCGTGCCGCGCTCAGGGGGTGTGGCGCGGGCGCCCCGGGGTTCGCGCGCGCACGGCACGGGTTCGCGGCTGGCTGCGGGACTGAGGCCTGGCCACGGCCAGCCCGGCTCCGGGGGCTCCGCCGCCCACCCGCCCGGAGCTGCGACTCATTTCCGCTGGACATAGCGGAAAGCGAGGGGCCCTGGGAGGCGAGCGCGGGGCGGAGCCAGCGGTGCCACCTCGGCGACTCGGCGGGGGCACCTCCCCTCGGCGCCGCCCTTTCCTAGCCTCCTCGCTCCTGCCGCCGGAAGCTCCTTCCCAGAATCCCCAAATCAGACCGGGAAGGACTTGGAGGTCACGGACTGCCCCCGCGCCTGTACACAGGAAGGGCGCTGGGGCTGGGGGCTTGCAGATGAGAGCGTGGGAGGGAAGTGGTGGAGGTGGGGTGCTGTACGCAGCCCTCGTTTTTACCCTCCCTCCCCCCACTGAATTTATTCTGCTTTTTTCCAGTTCCAGATTGCATCACTGCCCACTGCCCAAAACAAAAAAAAACCACATACATACAAACACACACACACAGGAACAGTAACAAAAATCAGGGGTCATTTTATTTCAATCCAGGGGTCAGCTCTACGCAGCGGCTGAGGGTAGCTTCACATAACTCTTCATGGGGGGCAAGGGTCGAATCTTCCGGCCAGCCCAGCCTCCCTTGCGATGCCAGAGCCCACTAGAAGGCCTCTTGCCCAGCCAGCGGTTCCGGCCCGCTTTGCCGATGACCCGTTTGTTATGATCGACGTTGGAGACCCGGCCCACGGTTGCTGTGCATGTTTCCAGAACCTGGGAGCAGAGGGGCTGAATGTATAGGGCGGGGGAGGGAGAAAGCCTCCCTAGGCTGTGTGTCGGGGGTGCTCTTCAAGACTTGATGAGAAGAGGGGACCACGGAAGGCAGTGTGTCGTGGAACCCTGGTGCACGTCCTGTGGCTGGAAGGGGGCTGGACTGCTGCACAGCTCCACACTGCTTTCTGCTCTGGTGCCAGCCCAAGGCAGTTCCTGCTTGCCTAGGACACCTGGCCGGGAACAACACATTCCCAGAATGTCTCCTGTGGTGATCACCCCACCCACTCAAACACACCTGCATCTGCCTCTTCGAGGGCAGCTGGATGATGGCTGTCCCGTTCACCTTCCGCAGCAGCACACCGCAAGTACCTGGGGAAGGGAGAAGCGGCCTTGGCTCCCTCCATAAAGCATGAGAAGATGGGGGTGGCTGGGGCTCTTCCCTAGCCCTTTAGGAGGCACAGCGCAGCTGGATGCATGCACTGATTTAGGTCAAAACACAGGCATTCTCTTCCTCCTCCTCACATTGCTTCTCTCTCTCTGCAGAGGACCACAGGTAGGCCCAGAAACTCACTCACAGCCAGTCAGTTACTGCAAACTCTTAGAGTGACCCTACAGGGCAGGGTAGTGTGGATTTCAGAGACTGTGACTGTTTACCAGACTAGAGCGCCCCCCCATCTTTCTCCCAAGAAGCAGCTGGTGATTTTGAACTGCTGACCTTGCAGTTAGCCTGATATGTAACCATCATGCTACCAAGGCTCCTCAGGTAGGCCCATTGGTTCAAAGAATTTCAACCTCAGGTAGCCTCTGGCTTCCAAAATATAGGGCCCCCGGCAGCCCCGGTGCCCATACCTGCAGCTCTGATATACTGGGCCCCTCGGCCGGGCTCGCTCTCCACATTGTTGATGAGGGTACCCACGGGCAGGGCCCCCAGAGGATGTGCATCCCCTTCCTGAGCCGCAACTGAAAGACAGAACTGCGTAAGCATGTGACTGCTCTCAGCTACTTCTGGCCCGCGTGCACCTGTTCCCCATCCCTCACCTGCCATCCGGCCTATGTGATTTGAGTTGAGGATCAGATCTCCAGCCTTCATGTTCTCAGTGGCAATGATCCAGCGTTTCCGGCTGCCCCCAGCAACCAGAGCGATGTCTGCCGACCTATTTGAGGGGGAGGGATGGGTAAGCAGGCCAACTAGGCAGCCCCTTGCCTTCCGAGAAGTCATCAAACACTCATTAGGGCACACCATCACCACAAACTATTCCAAACTTGCCTACAGGGATCATAGCGGACCACAACAACCTTCTCTTCAAAAGGTCCTGGCTTGGTCTCCTGCTGGGGTCGGAATCGCAGGAAGTCGATCATTCGATAACGCTGCTTGTGGCCCCCGCCAATGCCGTGCACTCGGATCCGGCCTGTGGGCGTGGGATCAAGGGTGAATGAATCCTGCTTCCAGCACAGAGAACTGGCAGCCACCCCATCATTAGGGCAGAAGTAGAAAAGGATAAAAAAATCTACACTGCCTGCTGACATCACGCAGCTGGCGGAGCGTCTACAAGGCCTTTAGTAAGACACATCATGTAATTATGATGAAAGAGAGAAGAAACGTGGAAATGTAAAGTGTTAGGAACTACGTGGTGGCTTCAAAAAGTTTCGTGGGGAAAAATGCAATGAAAAGCTCATGGAATTTTCCTGGGGGACTTTTTTAAGCCCCATCATATTGAAATGGCATAAAACTTCCCAAAAGAGACTCTTCAAATTGCTGAATTTAGTAAGTTTCCTGAGAGAGCTGTGTATACAGTGCTTGATTTCAATGATAAATCTTCCAGTGGTATGAAGACAAATGCCAGGGCGTTTCCTATGTATGCCACATTGTCTTGAGGAACCTAAAACGTTTGTCCATTGCTGTGCACCCCATGCTCCAGTTCCTATATACACACCACAATAGAAAGAGCCCAATAAATGCTTCTGAGTTACATTCATCCGTCCCACAGAGTGTCGATCTACTTTCTCTTAAAGCCCCTTGGCTCCATTCCCACCTGTGTGGTCTCGGCCCCCAGACTTCCTCATCTTCACCGGTGTAATGGTGTACTTGGTACGACTCTTCCAGGACATAATCTTGGCACTAAGGGCCACGGAGGTAAGGACTGGCCGGTAGGGGAGCAACAGTGACGTCGACGGTGACTGGAGGAAGGCATGGCTTATCACCTGGGGATAAACAAAAACCTTTCACTTGGAAAGCTAATGGAAGGAGAAGCTTCAGAGATCCATTTTAGCCTGTTGCTCACCCCACCAATTGTGCAAAAACCCACCCTTCACAGTTTGCAGATACTAGATGGCTGTGTATTGGTAACCTCTCCTCATCGGAACCTTTCTCACCTTTGAATTATTCCTGCAATTGAATGTTCTCCCTTGGGAGCATCTTCTACCATATTTGGCTTAAAATGCTCTTCCAGAAAACTTTCCTTCCCCCTGAACATTCTCCAGAATTACTAATTTACACACATCTGTTTACCACCATCACAGCCTTTGTTTCTAGGAGTTTTCACAAATGGGTTGGTTCGGTTTTCAATTCTACCGATAGATCTGCCAAACTCTCCCATCAGCCCAATTCCAGAGGGGCAAGACCCACAACTAGATTTACAGAAGTGGGTACATTCCTAACTCATTCCCTTCACCTGCTAGGGCAGTGGTTCTCAAATTGTGGGTCTCGACCCCATTGTGGGGGTCGAAGGACCCTTTCACAGGGGTCACCCGATTCCTAACAGCAGCAAAATGATAGTGATGAAGTAGCAATGAAAATAATGTTATGGTTGGGGAAGTAGCAATGAAAATAAGGTTAGGGTGTTCCTCACCATCATATGAGGAACTGTATGAAAGGGTCGTGGCATGAGGAAGGTGGAGAACCACTGTTGTAGGGAGCTCATGGCACCTTTACTCCAGTCCCCCTTCCTGGCATCTGGCCCTCTGTTCTCTAATCTCAGCGATAACTGATCACTGTAGGTGGTATTATCACAATGGTTAAGAGTCCAGGCTCTGAATTCAGACAGCCTCATTTCATTCTGAGGAGTCCTCGGGTGTATGTGTTGGGCTACCAACCACAAGGTCAACAGTGTTTAAACCACCGGCTCCTCCCTTTGCGAGTTACAGTCTTGGAAACGCAAGGGGCCGTTCTACTGTCTTACTGGGTCGCTGAGTGGGCATCGAGGAGCTGGCAGTGAGTGGAGTTGAGAACTCCGTTTGCCGTTGTGACCTTTGACTGCTTCATCTGCTTTAACTTTCTCGTCTGTTAAATGGGAAAGATAATACCTACCTTATAGAGTAGTCGAGAGGCGTTCATTTATTTATAAAGACCCAATTGGTTATAGCCGGCACTGGGAGAATGTTTTTATTGAGATCCCGATAACCGGAGATCTGCCAAGCGCTTTCGCTTCCAGTATCGCGTTTGAAGAATCGAGCGGCCCTGGGAAGCATCACCACCTTCCAGGCTAAGAGTGACTTATGCAGGCGCACAAGGCGGCCTTACTCAGGACCAGACTCGCCCTCCCGGCCGCCCAGCCCTTGCTTCCCTCTCCCCGGCGGCCAGACGGGAAACACCTGGCGAGGCGGATTTACCTGGGTGGCGGGGAGCAGGCTCGGGGCGCAGGAGGTGGCAGCCGAGGGTGACAGGCTCAAAGAGCCCAGAGTGCGGGTCAGCGCCCGTAGGGCCATGAGCACCAACGGGTTCGGCCTGCGCTGGGCACTGCACCTTACCGGCAGCCCGGCGCTGCCCGATGACGCTCCCCGCTCCTAGAACCGTCGCCCTCCTGTGACGTAGGCGGGAGGGCCGACCCGGGGACCTTCTCGCGCCCCGCCGCCAAGCTGTCCATCAAGAAACTCCACTGCCCTCTAGTTGGTCCCGACTCATCGCGACCTTGCAGGACAGGGTGGAAGGGTCCCATAGGCTTTCCCCGGTCGTGAAAGCCGACTGCCCGTCTTTCTCCCGCCCGGGACGGGGACACACCTCCTCCCCCAGCCGCGCCCGCTCCGAGCCAATCGCCGGGAGGCTCTGGAGTCACGTGACTGGGGAGGCCCCGCCCCTGGGAGCCGTCAAAACAATTGCCTAGAGCGGCGGCCATGATCGATTTAAAGGGACAGTACCGGCCAGGGCTGCAGCCGGACCGGGAGACTGTCGGTGAGTCTCGGAGGGAGCTTCGGGGGTTGAGGGTCGACAGTCCCCATCACTTCTTACTCCTGCACTCCCGGACGGAGGACCCGACCTCCTCCGCCCGATCCTCCACGACTCCAGACAGACCCCCAAACTCCGCCCTCCGCGGTCCTTCCCCGCCCCTCGCTACCCAGAAAGACAGACGGCCTGCCCCGCCCCCTCGCGACCGACTGACTCACTGACCTCGGGCTGGGCCGCCGCCGGTCCGCCCGCGACGGAGCCCAGCGGCACCTCCTCCTCCCGCCCTGGCCCTCCTCACCCTACCTCGGTCCTGGGCCCGCAGGGCATGTCGGCTGCAGGCCACTTCTCTACCCACGTTCCCAGTCCCGGAAGACCCTTTCCCAGCGCCGCGATCCCCTGCGGCCCTGTGGCCGCCCGGCCGACCTGCCATTCATCCCTACATCTGCAGGCTTTGGGAGGCACCCAAAGGTGACTCTCCTCAGAGCCTGGTAGTAGGTGATCGTGGCAGACAGGGAGTTCCCGAACTGGCCCGCGGGGAACAAAGCCTTGGAAGTGACTGGAAGCGACCAGATCTTCCCCCTCCCTGGTCCGCACCCACCCTCCTCGCCTTAGGTCTCTGATCGCACTCCCTCTGCGGGAGATATAAGGCCTTCTGGCTCGGGGTGAAAGGCTGGCATGGGGAGAGCTGGAGGGACTTGAGTTGGGTCTGAAAACCTGTAGGCACGGGGAGAGGGAGGGTGTTTGTCCCTGGGTGGGACTCTGTGCCCTCCTGGTCTGTCCTTGGGGTGGCTGTGAGTGGTGGGGGTGGGGGAGGGAGAAGGCTGGACTCCTGGACTTTGGGCAGGGCAGATCCTTGGCTGCAGGGCAGAGTGTCTTCCGGACTGGCCTGAGCTCCACCTCCTGCAGCCAAGGAAGGGCTCTGCACACAGGTAAGAGGATTTCAGGGGGAGAACTGAGACCCTTTTGAGGAAGTGGGGAGCCGGCCTGAGACCCGGAGAATGGAAGTAGAGCTCCAAGGCTCACGGGTGGGGAAAGAGGCAGGACTGGGGCACTTTCGAGGTTCGGGGCGTGCTGAAGGAAGAACCTTGGCTCTTCTGGGGCCCACTCAGGGGGCTCTTGCTTTCTTCCTTTCCCACTCTCCAGATGGAACATTGAAATCTAGCCCCTTTCCTTTGCAAAAAGCTCCACCTTCTTTTCTGTACATCTCCGGTCTACTCTAGCTCTGTTCCTCTTGTGGTGGCTGGGTGCCATCAAGGTGGCTCAGGCTCGCCATGAGTCCGTGGGAGAGACTAGAACTGTCCCAGATGGCTTTCTTCACACAAGTAGAAAGCCTGAGCTTTCTGCTGTGGAGCAACTGGTGGTTTCAAACAGCCGACCTTGAGGTTCGCAGCCCAGCCACTACACCACCCACTGGGCTCCCTAGGGTTTTCTCGACTGAAGCCGACTGCCAGGTCTTTCTTTCATGGCACCACTAGGGGGTTCCACTTTTTGGGACTAGCAGCCACGTGTCCCCTTGGTAGCCTGCTCCAAACACCTTCTTATTCCTGTGGTGCTCTCTCTTGCGCCCTGATGCCGCCCCCTGCCCTAAGTTCTCTCTACCCACCTCTGCTCTATGGCCGAGTCCGAAATCCCAGTGGTAGTTGTAAGAATTTCCTTTTCTTACCTTTTTCCCTCTGTGCCACTCAGTTTCTCTCCCTCCCTCTCTGCCCACATCCCTTGTTTGGTCCCCAGTGTTGTCGGCTCCCTCCTCACTTGCCTCCCTCGGCTGGGCTGGAACCCTCAGCCTCGTTCTCTTCCTTGCCCCAGCTGAGTGTGGTGGTTTTTTTCCCTAGCCCAGGTGAGGTCCCTTGGCCAGGATGTCAGGCCTGGTGTTGGGGCAGCGGGAAGAGCCCGCAGGCCACCGGCTGAGCCAGGAGGAGATCCTGGGGAGCACTCGGCTGGTGAGCCAGGGCCTGGAGGCCCTCCACAGTGAGCACCAGGCTGTGCTGCAGAGCTTGTCCCAGACCATCGAGTGCCTGCAGCAGGGCGGCCACGAGGAGGGACTGGTGCATGAGAAGGCCAGGCAGCTGCGCCGCTCCATGGAAAACATCGAGCTGGGGCTGAGCGAAGCCCAGGTGAGAGACGGCAGGGGAGGTGCCCAGGGGGCCAGGGTGGGCAGGAGCTTAGGGCCACAGGGGATCCCCTGGTCCGAGATGTGTACATTCGTACATCGATTCATTCAGTACATACTGACTCAGTGCCTCATGTGTGCTGGGCACCCTCTGATCACTGGAGCCACGTCAGTGGGTGCGATGTAATCTACACTCCTTGACATGTTGGAGCTTGCAGACAGACCGGACACAGATCACAGGCAAAGGAGCCAAGATTTCAGAGTGATCAGTGCTCAGGATACAGATCCAGCCATCTAAGGGGCCATGGCATATGGACAGGAGATGCCCTTTTAGATTAAAACACAAATCTAAGCCCATTGCGGGGGAGTTGATTCTGACTCATAGTGACCCTGTTGGACATAGTAAAATGATCCCGTGAGATTGTCAAACTGTGAGTCTTGTCAGAAGCACACGGCCTCATCTTTCGGCCATGGGGCAGTTGGTGGATTTGAACCTGCCAACCTTTTGGCTAGCAGCTATAACCCACTGGGACGCCAGGGCACCTTCATGTTAGGTAGTGTGGTCAGCAAAGGTATAGGTGAGGGGTCAGTCCAGCATGAACCGAGGGAGAGCATCACAAACAGGGCGTGGTGAGTTAAGGACCAGTGGGTAGCCCATGTGGCTGTAGAAAAGTAAACAATGAGAGGACTCAGGAGACTCACTGGGACCCTATAGGACCGGGTAGAACTGCCCCTGTGAGTTTCGGAGACTCACAGTAGAAAGCCCCGTCTTTCTCCCATGGAGTGGCCACTGGTTTTTAAATGCTGACCTTTCGGATTGCAGGCCAGCACATAACCGTTATACCTGTACCAGGATTCCCTGTCTGAAGGGAAGCAAAGTAGACAATGAAGTTTGGGCCCTGCTGGGGTTAGAGGTGAGAGGCCAGGCCAGATGGAACTGGTGGGCCGTCCCAAAGGCGGTATGATCCCTGTGGCTGCTGGTTCGGCTCTAGTGGGGACAAGGCCAGACGCGGGGAGGCCAGTGAGATGGCCGTCATACTGGTGGGAAGTGGTGGTGAGCCAGCCCAGGGTGGTGGCAGTGTAGGTGGTGAGGAGTTGGCTCCGGGGCACATTTTGATGGTGGAGGTATTGCGGCCCACCTCGGCCTGGTCTACACCTCCTGGTTCCTCCAGCCGGCTGGTCTGGCTGCCTCCCAAAAGATTTCTTTCCTGCTCCCTCGTGGATGCCCCCGCCCAGAGCCTGGCGCTCACACATTGTGCCCCTACTGGCTAGGTGATGCTGGCGCTGGCCAACCACCTGAGCACGGTGGAGTCGGAGAAACAGAAACTGCGGGCTCAGGTGCGGCGGCTGTGCCAGGAGAACCAGTGGCTCCGGGACGAGCTGGCGGGCACCCAGCAGCGGCTGCAGCGCAGCGAGCAGGCTGTGGCGCAGCTGGAGGAGGAAAAGAAGCACCTGGAGTTCCTGGGGCAGCTGCGGCAATATGATGAGGACGGGCACCCCACGGTGAGCAGCAGGGCAGGTGGGGGCCCAGCACCTCCACCTCCACCTCACCCCCACCTGCCCCCAGCCCCCGCGGGCAGAATGCCTTTTCCAGGCCTGACAACTCCAGATGACAGCCGAGGGGAAATAACAACATCTTAGTTAAGTGCCTACTATGTGCCGCACTGGAGACCCCGTCGGGGGGCCAGCAGGGAAGGAAGCAGGCATGGCCCCTTGCTCTCCCAAGTCCAGCCCAGCTGGAGGGCTCGTGTGTCCCATCCCATCCCGGGACAGGGAGGAGGTCACAGCCTGCAGAAGCCAGCCAGGAGGGCTAGAGGTGTTTATACAAAGCTGTAATTCCTTCCCAGGGGGGGGACAGGAGGGGGCAAATCTGCCCCGCATGGGAAGTTGGTTAGACAAGGGAGAGAGGGGCCTTAAGTTCAGAGGTGGCAAATGATGAACATAGGGCTAAGCTAAGCTGGGGGACCATACGTGCCAACAAGCTCAGACAGACGCCCTGCCCTGAGGAGAGCCAGGACAGACATATAATCAGTGCAGACACACCGGGATCAGCCCGCGCAGAGATAATCAGCGGTAATTACGAGCGTGGAGGAGGAGGAAGACGGCTGGAGACTGAGGGCGGGAGGAAGGCAATGTTCTGGAGCTGCAGGAAGGGAGTTAGAAGGTTGGTCCAAGCAGCTTCACTAACGAGAGAGGCCTGAGTGTTATGGGCCGGATGTCTAGCTTCCCAGGGGCAGGGGCCTCAAAGAGGGTCTTCTCGTCCGGCCCTTCTGAGTGACTGCATGGTCTCGAGGGAGTCTCGAAGAGGCTGTCGGCGCTCTCCTATCCCTGCCACGCTGCTTCTTCCAGGAGGAGAAGGAGGGCGAGGCCCCCAAGGACTCCCTGGATGACCTCTTCCCCAACGAGGAGGAAGAGGACCCCAGCAGTGGCTGTGAGTCTGCCTCAGGAGTGGGGACGGGGCACGGGGCCGCAGGAGGCTGCTTCCAGCTGCGGCCACTCTGGGCACCACACGGTCACCCACCAGAAAAGGGGGCAGGGTCCCGGGCTAGAACTTAGAGCCCCTCAGCGTCCCCTGCACGCATCAGACTGAACTCACGTTAGGCACTGCGCTGGGCTCTAGGGATACAGAGATGACAGGCACCACACTCACCCTGGGAAGTTTGCAGTTTAGTGGGAGAGTGACCCGGAAGGGCGCCCCTCCAGGAGAAGAAGCAGGTCTTTCCCCCCTTTTCTTCTTGGGACGGCCCCTGCCTCATGGCCGATGGGGTGAATGCTTGTGTTGGGTGAATACAAGGGGTCCTGCAGATGAGTAAGCAAAAGGATAGCAGCTAAGGCTGGCCTTGAAGGAGAGACGGGCGCACAGTAGGCAAGGCCGTGGGGTGGCAGAGTGGGAAGTGCGCACAGCCAAGGGGGCAAGGGGAGTGGGAGGGGCGGGCAGAAGAGGCCTCTGAGGAGGGCCTGTGTTCAGTGTCCCGGGGCCAGGGCGCCCAGCCCGGAGGATACGAAGTCCCAGCCAGGTTGCGGACGCTGCACAACCTGGTGATCCAGTACGCAGCCCAGGGTCGCTACGAGGTGGCCGTGCCACTCTGCAAGCAGGCCCTGGAGGATCTGGAGCGCACGTCTGGCCGTGGGCACCCCGATGTCGCCACCATGCTCAACATCCTGGCCCTGGTGTACAGGTGAGCACTACCTGCCCCTGCCCCACAGACTCGTCTTCCAGGTCCCCACAGGACCCTACTTTGGCCCCATTCCACCACTCTGCTCCCTGATAGGCCTGGACAGGCTCTCATGCACCAGCCTCTGTCTCTTCCCATTCCTGTGTCCTGACCTCAGGGCACACGCACATCTCAGGCTCCTCGCTAGTCTCGCCTCTGGGGAGGGTCTCTCTCCCTGGCTCCTGGCTCCTTCCTAGAACTTGTAGTATCCTCTTGGGATAGCCATGCTCAGCAACCAGGTGTAGCAGGAGGCCCCTCTTTGGGCTCACAACAGGCTTCCTATCTTTCCAGGGTATCTCCTGTCCCCCATGGACCTCAGCCTGCACAGAGGGCAGTAGATGGCTTGCAGACAAGAGTTCTGGGTGACCTTGTCCTTTTTGTACTCTTCCAGGGACCAGAATAAGTATAAGGAAGCCGCCCACCTACTGAATGAAGCCCTCAGTATCCGAGAGAGCACCCTGGGCCGGGACCACCCTGCTGTCAGTATCCCCCGCCCTCTCTCCCCACGTCCCCATCATCTATCTTGGCATGGCCATCTGTTGCCCTCTCCCCACTCACTAGGCAGCTTGGGGAAGAGCGCTGTCCATTCAACTTTCTTGAGGCCAATGCCTCCTCTCTGTCATGGCTTTTCCTGAGATCCAACCCACTGGTAATGCAGCCTTCCTCTGTAGATCAAAGCAATGTGATAACCCTGATTAATATAGAAGAGAAACAAGGGAAGTCACTTATAGGGAACTAATATTGAATACAATGGTGCTGCCAGAAGACAGACCAAGGGGTCAGATGCTTGTACTTAGGGTTTTGGAGAATGGTCGGAAGCCATACCTTATACGCAGTACTAGCAGAAAGATAGACCAGAATTTGGGGACAGCAAGGGATAGACGTAATCTCTGATTTAAGATGTATTTAAATTATGAACCACACTTAGAACTGGCTGCTTTCTAAAAATAATTTGTTATTATATGCACTGCATCCAATCTGAGAATATGTTTTACATGGGATGTTTCCAACTCCCAAAGACAAAATAAAGTTAGGGCTTATAAAGATACTGATGACAAAAGGCAATATAATGAAAATGAAAAAACTTCTGAACGACTTGGGACAGTCGTTGGGACAGAACCCCATCACAAGTTGGGGACCACCTGTCTTAGATGAGAAACCAGCCTCACAATAAGCAAGCCCAGGCCAGAATTACTTCCATGCGATCAGAACGAGAGAAATAATCTGCAGTAGAGGGAGCAAGCCAAGAGAGATGATGGATTGTCAAAGTGAAGAAAATGAGAAATAGGACGTCTGGGAAAATGGGCAGACCATGTGAAAGCCACTCCTTCTGTTTTAACGTGGGGCAGGCTGGGGAGTTGTCACACACCACACATAGCACCCGTCTTGAGAGCCCATCCCAGTCACTGTTGGAGTGAGAGCTTGGCAGGACACTGAAAACTTAACCTATCTGCCTCAATGTTGAACATCTGCAGCGTTCCTGCTGCCACCAAAATAGTCGTGCCCCATCTGCCTGTAGCCAAAACTCACCCCCAGAGGTTTCTACAAGTCCCCGTAGGGGGTGAGACTGCCCCCATAGAGAACTAATCCATCCTAAGTCATGGTGACCCCTGCCCCCATAGAGAACTTCAGCTTCCAGCCAGTGGCCAAGCTAGTCCATCCTAAGTCATGGCGACCCACATCTGTAGGACATTTGGACTGCGCTCCCTAGGGTGCTCAGGGGCTGATCTTTTTTTGGAAGTGGCTCTTTAGGCCTATCCCCCAGGTGCTTCTGGGTAGTCTGGAACCTTTCATCTTGAATCACTTGTGTGCCCCTGGGAGGGCCGCCTAGGAAACATCAGACCTGTTAGTAATACTCTTCCCCCAGCCTCGGAGTTGTGTGGCCGGGGTGGGGCTCTGCTGGTGCCAGATTCGTGTAGGTCTTGGTGGGCATGGAGGTCTGATGGAGACCTCTCCATCATAGGTGGCTGCCACCCTCAACAACCTGGCTGTGCTCTATGGCAAAAGAGGCAAATACAAGGAGGCGGAGCCGCTGTGCCAGCGGGCGCTGGAGATTCGTGAAAAGGTACCCACTCCCTCTCCGTCCGTCCGTCCATCCATCAGTCTGTCCTTCCCCA